GTACCTTTAAATGAGTGCATGTAAATGAAAAAAAGTTTTTCAAAAGATTTTTATACAAATTGTTTCTCCCATTTACTAAAATCTAAGTCAAGAATTTTTTTGTTCTATACATTTTTTTTCAAAGTGCTTGAAATGTCCCCATGGTAAAAGAATGTTTATGTACACTCTTAACGCACTTTGAAAAATTTTTTCAAAGTGCGTTGAGTGTGTTCAAAATTTAACGCTCTTTGAAAATTTTTAAACTTGATTCTGTTTAATTTTTAAGAATAAGGCGTATCTACAACCACGTGGTATTCTTAGCTTGAGTTAAATCTTCCAAAGACAACCTGTCGCAGCATATACTGTTTCATCTATTACAACGAATAATCGTTTAATAGTCGGAATTTTAGACTTGCACTCTCCACAAAGTTCTTAACATTGAATTCTATTCTATTAAAATGGCTAGACATTTTAATAGACGGGAGAAAATCAGAAAAAATCATAAAAGGAAGATCTTAATACTCTTTACTGCAGATGAAGAATGTATACATAACTTATGAGAGTAGCTCGCAGAAATATGTACTTAATTTATCAAGATACGAAATTAATCGTCATGCATACTCTGCACTTTCCAAAAGCTTGAAATTCATACCAACTGTAAAAAAAAAAGTATCAAAAAGTTATTTTAAATGACTTTGACGAGTTCGCCAGAAAACTCAGATGCAAGTATCACTATGATAAGGGAGAAAACTCCCCTATGCATACTTTCAGAAAACTATCGGGTCACAAACCCCCCACTCGCTTGTTATACCCTAGAACAATACATTGACAAAACGAAATTAGATTGATTGATTGATTGAATATTGTTTAACGTCCCTCTCGATAATTTTTCACTCAAATGGAGACGTCACCGTATGCAGGTGAAGGGCTTCAAATTTTGACCTTTACTCGGCACTTAGGGTCATTAATTGAGCAGTGAGAGATCTTTATCGTGCCAATGCCTGTCGCTGACACGGGGCCTAGGTTTTTAAGGTCTCATCCGAAGGACCCGCAACTTTCACTTCAAAGTGCCGAGCGCATGGCAAAGGAACAGTTGCTACCTATTTTAACGACTAGGTCAGTCGCGGCCAAGATACGAACTCACGACCTCCCAATCACGGAGGGAGCGCTCTACCGACGGAGCTACCGTGAACGGTCAAAACGAAATTAGAACTATTATCTATCCCAATCAGGAAATACACAGCAATACTTCTAAATTAGAAAGAGAAGCACCTACTTCTCTGAGAAACAATAACAATATTGTTATCAAAAAATGCGGAAAAATTTAAGCAACACAATTGTTATTATGAACAAAGACTTATATATCTCAGAGGCATTGCGCCAATTGCAATCCAAACATAACATGCAAGATGAAAAACCGAACTTAAACAACTTGCATAAAATGATACAAAATAAAATCACTGAAATGCACTCCAAGGGAACAATAGATAATGAAACATATCGCTTTCTATGCGATAACAAACCCTTATTAAAATGTGGTCATCTTTATTGCTCCCCAAAAACACAAAATTAAAGATAATGTACGAGATGCCCTCATGAAAGGCCAATGCAGCATCACGCAGGTACCACCTGGTCGCCCAATTATTTCACAGTGCGATACGACAACACGGAATATAGGCGCTTACTGTGATTATTTCTCATGCCCATAGTACAAAAACAATCAACATATATTAAGGACACTTCCGATTTTATCAACAAAATAGAAACCCTCAAACTTCCAGCAGACGTGTTGATGGTTACATATGACGTAACTAGTATGTGCACTAACATGGAATTTGACGAGCTCCTCTCTGCCGTCAATGAAGCATATTAAAGCACTAACAAGCCACAAAGAGACATCCCTTATCCAGATGTTGAAGATCTTATCTTCTTATTAAAGTGTTTATCAGAAAACAATTACTCTGAATGCAATGGAAAATACTACAAACAAATTAAAGCCTGTAGTATGCGTGCGATACCATTCCCTGAAATCTCAGAAACAAATGTATCAAATCACAAATAATATTATGTCAAAATTCAAATTCGCCAACCAAGTTCTCTAATGGTAGATATAGAGATGATGGGTTTATAGCCTTTAACGGCACAAAAGAGGAAATTCTAGAATTCTTCGCTATCGGCAATACCTGTCACAATCACTTAAAATTCACCTTTGAAATCTCAGATGAAAGTTCTTGACATCACAATATACAAAGGAGAGTAAAGTCCTCGATAAACAATCATATGTAAAACCAACAAATAATTTTCAGTATTTACACAGAGAAAGCGCCCATAGTCCTTCAGTATTTAAAGGACTTATAAAAAGCGAATGCATCAGACATGCAAGAAAAACAAGTGATTCATCTATTCTGACAACCATCTTAGCAAACTTTAAGACACACTTCATCAAGAGAGGTTACTCTGATAAGGAAATCGATCCCATTATCACTGAAATGGGCAAAACAAACAGAAAAAGTACTTGCATGAAAAAAAAATCATGAAAGAAAAACGGCGTCAACCCAAATGTTATGATTACCAAATACAATCCATATATCAAAGGTTTAAAAAATCCCCTTCTCAAACACTGGAACATTTTGCAAACAGACACAATTTGCAAAGAATTATTTATCGATGAACCAATAATCGCCTACAGTTAACACAAAAAAACATTGGCGAAATGATAATTAAGTCTCGCTTACAATAGCTTAAGACTAATAAATAAGGTGGGCTTTAGATGATGGCGGGCCTTAAGAGCAACAAATCACATTTCTCTTTAAAAACCGCCAAACATAAGTGGTCTAGAGTGTCGAACCCTTCTAAATTTACGACAGGTTTGGTTGATTGATGTCTTTTTCAAAACCAAAAAAGATGTTTGTGTGAAACGCTGATGCCCCCGTATGGCACACAGCGAAGATTAAAGTTATTTCGTATAATCACCAGTGTTAGTTTGACTTGTCCGGTGTGAGGGAGCAGTGTGAGATTTTTCTGTCTTACACTGTGTATAACTTCGCCGCGAACGATAACGTAAACATTCCGTCTTTATGCAAAGAAATTGTAACAATGTTAAAAAATATTACACATACCTAAAATTTTGTAATTTAACTTATTAATATAAACTTATTTTCATTCAAAATATTGTCGTTTTTTTACTTTTTAAATGGCATTATTTTTAAATCGCGAAATGATTCTTCTTTTACGCCCTCGGAGAGAAAAGTTTTTTATACCCAGATTTTATCTATCTAATTAATTTACACGGGGTTTAATTTAATTTATCAGTTTACACTACGTGTAATCCATTTTCAGGAACGCTGACTCCGATGGTGCATTTAGATTTTTAATAATTTTATGGAAAATTAAAAATATATTTTTAGCCAAATCATGGCGACGTCATTGACAGGCCGTTATTTTGGATAAAATAATGCAAGAAAAATAATCATTCATTACATACTCATGCGGGAATAATGAAATTCTACCTCGGGGCCAAGATTCAGGGTCTAGGACTCGGCAAAGCCTCGTCCTAGACCGTGAATCTTGTCCCCTTGGTGGAATTTCACTATCCCACACTCGTATTAATGAATGATTCTATTATTCTTAAATGTAGATTTAATATACTGGTACCCAAAGTAGGGTATTCTCAATGGAAATACAATCGTGGCATATGAAAGAAGTCCACGGTTAAAGTTTTTTTCATAAGTATGCAAATCTTTAAGGCAAAAAGGTCATGGTAAGTGGTATCCAATGAAAAGTCTTGTCACAAAGAATACATATGTTATGTATGAAGGCCCTAGCCCTAACCTTTAAGAAGTTATGGCCAAGATCAAAAATTGTAAGACGTAGATCAAACTCCAAGGTCTAGGTCAAAGCTATTGATTTCAAATGAAAGATCTTGTCACAAGGATTAAATATTCAAAGTATGAAAGTACTAGCTCTAACCCTTAAAAAGTTATGATATGGGTTTGATTTTTTTTTAAAATAAGTCAAACTCAAAGGTCATAGGTTAAAGTTCTTGGTAAACAATGAAGAAACTTCTCACATTACATATGTAAAGTATGAGATCACTAGCCTTGAGCATTCAAAAGTTATGGCCAAGGTAAAAGTTTTTTCATAAATACTGAAATCTCTAAAGTCAAGGTCAAAAGGTTATAGTGTTTAAAAATCAATAAAAGTTTTTTTCCCACAAAGATTACATACATGAAGCATAAAAGCCCTGATATATACTGTTCAAAAGATATAGAAAAAGTAATAGTTTGGTGTTAATATGGGTCAAACTCCAAGGCAAAGGTCAAATACAGACACACAGTTAGCTAGACGGACATGACAAAAACTATGTATACCCGAAACCTCGTTTACGGGGGCATAAGAAATAATATTAATATCGAATATTCTCAATCATTTGATATTTAACCTTGAAATCTAAATGCAGCTTAAATTAAGGTCAAGATCTAGTAAATGACTTTAGACTAATTTTTTGGTGCTAGATCCATTATGAATCACAATCAATTTCAACTTCTTTTTCCCCTATTTTACGGCTTTAACAGAGTTATGTAGAAAATAGGGTATTTTCATGGAATTCAATTCATTTTAAAATGATATGAACAGTAATCCCGACGTCTATTTTAATTGATATGATTTGAAAGAGGCTATGAACAAGCAAATTACCGTTTTCTGGGAGACGGTAAGCAATTTAGATTTTTTTCCTTTGCCGAAAATGAAAAAAAACCTCCCATATTCATGACGAGTTTGCTTAATTTTTCAGTGAAAATGAAAGTTTAAAATATGGTTTTTAATCTTGTTTCCTACAAGTTATGCCTCGAAACACCTTATTTGACAACGCTAAAGTTATAGAGCATTATTGATTAAACGAATTTCTTCTGAATTTTGATAAATTTGTGGGCACCTTTTATTTTCTAGACCTGACCTGAAGTTTGATGAATTCAGGACCTTATGTACTAAGTTAATATTAATATATTGTATATTCTTTTTAGGAGTTCCTTCCTCATAGAGCAGACGTTAAAATGAGAGACTGGATTATTGTATGTTTTTTTGCAATGCTAAACTTCAAGGTGCGAAGTATGACTTTGATTCAATTATTAAATTTGGGTTGTTTGTAATGTGTGAAGTAATGACGTAAAGTGAGCATAAATTTGAAGCAAATAAATATCACTTCTAGATTAAACTTTTATTTTGTTTGCAACTCTGCTCTTCTTATCAAAAGAATGGACACCATCTCTTATTTGCAAAGAAAAACATTATTATTCAATAGTAATGCAATAACATTTCTATACTTGATTTAATATTTTTTAATGAAGGGAATTAAATCTGTCAGAGATTTGCCTACCGGGGCAAAAATTGTGCAGACATGTCCAGCGGCAAATAACAAGACAGCTTGGGAGTTGGCATCTAAAGGACTTGGTTGTAGTCTTTTTGGGAAAATTTCCCGTAATAAAAAGCTTTATCATTGCCTCCCAAGCAGTTCACTGAATGAGTATGTCGAGTTTTGTGGATTCACTGCTCCAATGGACCCAGGTTTGACACTCTTTTAAATTATTTAATTAGTCTTATGCATTGTAGCTAAAGTACACAAAAATAATGTCTTAACTTTCTTATTTTTCAAATTATTTTCCTAAATGTTCTCACTAACTGAATTTCTTAATTTTAATTAATGGCATATTTTAATACATAACTGTATATATTTACATCACACACATTTTTTCATATGATTTGAATAAGATTCAAAGCACACAATTATGGACACTGAGTACAGGGTTAAAGATATTCGTGTTAAATCGTTGAATGCCGAAGAAGTGCAACTCAAAAGCGAAGATAAAAAATCACGCTAAATAGATCAGAAGTTGTTATGTTGGCTCGTTCGTTATGCACTATAGTCTGCATCAAGTATAATAAATGGGTCTCAAAATGAAAGTTACATTTGCAGTCAAGACAAAGAGTACAACATGTAAATATAAGCAATGGATTAATATTTTTTTAAAGATATCGTCTCATAACTGCAACGGTGTGTACGCACGTTACCCAATTTGCTTGCACGCACTGTTGCAGTAATAAGACGTTATCAAAAAATATCGTTTCATTGCTTAAAATTTTTTTTTTTTTATTCTCTTTCGAGAATTGCAACAGTTATTTACTGGCAAAAAGTAATTGCCAAGAAACAGTAAGTTTGCTCTGTATTTAAAGAGAATGTTTCCTCATTGAAGAAAAAATCTATTTGATTATAAACTGACGAATAGCATTATGACGGGAATGGTTATTTTCAGTTTGTGGTGCTCCGCATCTGTGTTTCAATGTAAAGCTTATTTTTATCTTTTTACCCAAAGTCTCTCAATACTTTGAGACCAGAACCCTAAGAATAGATACCGTTATTTAAAGTTCGAATATTGCAGTGAGACGAGGAAACCCATTCTTTTGCTTTTGACAGATGAGACTGTATAAACCTAGATGCATGTTACAGTAGGGGCTGGAGCGAGAAAGATCCCGCACTGATAATGTTTTGGGTGCTGAGTACATATCTAAATTTTTAGCTATCCACCGGCAATATGAGTTAAAAATTCTCGATGGAACGTTAAACTAACAAATCAAAATTATTATTTACTCGGAAAACTTGACCAATTAAGGTTTATAAACGGTCACAAGAGAAGGAATTAGAAAAGGAAAAGGTATTAAAGAAACACAGAAAGGAGAATGTTAGCGATGAGTGAGGATAAGGAAAGTGGAACATTGTGATCATTATTATTACATTTCAGCTCTACCCTATTGGATTCATATTAAGCGGCAGATTCAATACGGTTTATACGGCGAAAACACAGAATAATCCCATATTTTCATAAACAACCGATTTGGGATAAAGTTCCACGATCAATGGTTTAATTCATTTTTATACCTTACACCATAAATCATAAGAATTTTTAAACCTAAGTGTAAAATGTGACCATAAATTGGATTTTACAAATGTAAAGCGCGAATATTTTGCTCTTTTGAAGTAAAGAATACAAAGTCCTCTTGTATGGACACATGCTGTAGTAGTATTGTTTAGTCTGTTTTTACTTCCCTTTGATAACATTTTTTTCACTCACACTGAGATGGCCGCTATATATACATGTTTTAATACAAAAGTCAAGTGAAAAAAATCAAAAAAAGGGGGGGTTGTTTACATGTAATAAGTGTACTTTATATTAATTTTTAACTGCTTTCCTCACTTAAATACTTACTGAATTGTAAAGTTTTTTGTGACAAAGATTTCATTTTGATACTTACATACATGTATGCATGTTTTACCCTACGTATGAAAAAAAATGACAATGTGTTTTTATTTTGAAGGTTATTGTCCAGTATTTCATTATGTTAATACGAGCGGAAAAAACAGCGCTCCAAGTTACTTGAACTGTTCTACATTCTCGTCGGGATGTCCAAGAGAATTTTACTTCTCCAGGGACGTATACAAATGTAAGCAATATTTCATAGCTTTTCTCGTTACTGAAAACCCTAAAATGTTTTTAGATAATACAGGATGTTGTTTGTTGAAACTTTTCCTTGAAATATTCTGTATTTGTTGTAATGTTAATCCATTTTGTTTTTAATGCATTATTGGTATTTCAATTAAGTTATGATTTTGTGGTTTGTTTTCCCAGATCCAGAGTGTCTTGATATTGACATAAGTCACGGATGTTTTAGAGCAGACAACAATTGCACGACAGATATGAACTCTACAAGGTAAGTTAGAAAATCATGTTCACATGAACATTATGAAATGGAAACAAAAAATCTCCCTACCAAAAAGATTAAAGTTTGGATAATCTAATGTTTCTCTTCAAGACACATTCATATAATCAAGAGCTTTTAATCAGTCACAGATTAACTACTATCCTTAATATATGTTCATTAACTTAGAACCCGGTGATCTTAAAACTACCAGGTATATTTATAATTGATTAGGTTAGCACTATGCCAACAATATTTCAATTTCATTTGAATTTTTTTTTTTTAAATTTTGCCTTCTACTTGCAAAAGTCTCTAAAGGAGTTAAAAATTCTAAATTCATCGTTCATATTTATATGAATTCGTCTTTGAAAAAAAAATGAAATGTCTCTCTTTGCATTTTCCGCTTTCCAGTTGAAGTAGCTACCTTACCAAACTGGGTCAGGTATCTCGTATCTGGGGGAAGGTTTATTTAGTTGATATCATTCATCGATCCTTTGAAAATCTTCCCCTATGCCCTGGAGTACTGTGGATTCATCAGTATTCGCAAAATATCAATTTTCGTGGATTTCGTTGTTGATTCGTAGATAATTCACAAACAAGGGAATCTGGATGTCTCTGTCGAGTCCAGAAACACGCCGTTCAAATAAAAAATACGTACCCAACATAATTTTGTAAATTGATTACTTTACTGTTGACACTTTTAATATCCTGCTTTGTCACTATATAATTTACCGTATATACATGTGCGCTTTAAAGATAAATTCGCCACTTGAAGGTTCAGACTTTTGAAAAACCAATTGAGTAAAATGAAGATAATAAAAAATTCTAAAAATTATCTTCGGTTTTTACTATATTTTAATATCTACGTACTCTACTTATTGTAAATGGCATGATTGATCCTACTAAAGCAAAACACGAAAAAAATATGAAAAGATTTTTTCTATAAGGACCATTATCCATTTTCGTATCCTCAAAACTGCGATGTTTTGAAAATTGTTCGCCACGAATATTAATGAAATCACAGCATCTAGTAAACAGACAGAAATAAAAAATATAAATGTTAATGTATAAATATATGTTAATGTGCATTTTTCTCCCCTGGATATGTAGGAGGAAAACAGATACAGAATTGATATAAGTGAAGTGAATAAGAGTTATTTTATTTTTTAGTCAGACTGAGTATGAAACCCCGAAATCAAACAAAAATGACATTAAAGTTTGGTTAGTTTGGTTCTTAACCGGGTAAGTAAAATTCAATCACTTCTTAAATTCGGTCATGGATTTGTACGTGTACTTGTACAAATTTTAATCAATCATGGTATCCAAGTAGATTATACTAGACAAAATTCTTTCAGCAGTTCTTTTGATTTTGACAAATAATTCCACCGTAACTACTAAATTAGAAATATCTGAAAACTTTCAATTTCAACTCTGATACAGTGCTTTAAGTAGTTTGGATTTTAAGCAATTCCGGGAAATATTCGTTTAAAAATGAAAATAAAACAAACAAAAACGTTTGTTTATTGAGATTTTTTGTATAAAAGATTGATTTATGTTTAACGCCCAATTAGCAATATTTCATCCATATATCGGCGATGTATAAATGAAGCTGTATAAATGAATGTGAATTCATTGTCGAAAATCTAGACAATAAAACAAGTTGTTCTATCTTTTGATGATGCCAGAGCTAAAGTTTTGATTACAGAAGCACTTTATTGACGTTGATAAGAAAAATAAAATGCTGTTTCTAAAGTCGGAGGTGTTTTCAAAGGTACAAATTTACTTTTAAGAATGAAGAGTTGATAAGAAACTGGTGTATCACCATTTGCCAAATTTGTGGGTTTTGTTTATCTACGAAGGATCTCCAAAATAATGAGCAATTTTCACAACATCCCATTTAAAGCAGTCTCAAATTTACTCTGGGCGGCGTTTTTTTTATGAAAAGAGTTGTAAACCATTCGAGATAATAACAAATCAAAAAAAAAAATCATACTTTCATGTCATTGAAATAATTATAAACAATTATATTTATTTGAATATAATACACTAAAATATGCAATTTATGCAACGAATTCTTCATGAATATAAAAAACTAAATCATTGCAAAAGATTTCCTTCAAAATGTTTTATTCTAATTTCAATAAAAATGTTAAACAATGAGAAACTTAACCTCGGATCGTCTTTTTATTGGTGTTGTCATAGAATATATCCAAGACTGAATTTCTCCTCTTTATAAGTGCAAACCAGATTAGCTACACTTTGTCAAAAATTAAATTTACAGATGTAGATAGTAAGTGTTGTAAGTATACTTTAGAGTTTTGTTTTGTCATCAAAATATTTCTATTTTATATAGGCTAATCATTTTCTGCGCAACACTTATCTGTGGTCTTGTGGCATACATCTTTAAGATGAAACGCTTTCCCAGAAGAAGAAAGATTGAGAAAAAATTTGATAACGAAGGTTTGTTTTCATAAATCGTAGCTGTTGACCTATTCAATTAGAATTTTTCGATATTAATTAGTTGAGATTAAATCTACTTTAATTATTGTCCCAAGAACAAAGAAAGGTTCAGAGAGATGCATAATAAATTCGCATGTATAAGAAAGATTAATGTAGACTACTTTGGTTATGGTAAGTGAAATAAAAATTGAAAAAAAACCCATTTGATGCAGATGCATTTGTGCATCAATTCTTGTCCTCGGGAATGGCGGCTGACATGGAAGATGGCTAGGTTTGGGCACAATGCATATGGTAACTCCTACAAATGCCATAACAACCTTTAAGCAACAACAAGACTTGCATGCAATCGCAAATATTTTCCACATCTTTCGCAGTGGAAGATAGTGATATATTAACTAAAGATACAATGTAGTAGGTTAATATGATTAGGAATTTTAAACATGAAAAAAAAATATTTTTAAATCGGATTTTCCGTCCACCTTTCAGAGAGAAACGCCTATTTCTTCTCCAGACTATTGACTAAATATCTTAGTTTTTTTTTAATAAAATCTGGGTGTTGAGGTGAGTCAGTCTTTGGGAATTTATGGATGCAAGACACATTTTGTAGCATGCATGTTGTTTTAAGCAATGCAGCGCAACAATCTCAATCCATTTAGAGAGGTAACCCTTTTTTTGTAAGAAGTTAAAAAACAATTTTTTGCATATTGCTTCTCTATTGGCCAAGATCTATCGTGTCACAGAACAACCGTTTCAACAGTAAAAAAAACCCAGGACTTTCACACTCAATGCTAAGGAACTGCCACTATCCATGTTAAACGAGTAAGTTTGGAGGAACTATGAAAGAGAATTAAACCATTTCTCCTCTAGAGCCCAACCACTAGACTTTCACAACCGATAGGACTCACTTGTACGTTTGATGTTACAGAGATTCTAAAATCTTTGAGTAATTTTAGGAGCTATTAAATATTTTGCGTTCTTTTGCCTTGAGTGTCGATGGGGGAGAGAAGGACGAGGATAGGGCGTATATTGTTTTTGTCCTGTCTGTCTGTATGTCTTTATGTATATCTGTTTGCCTCTGTCTGTCTTTTTCAACTTTAACCTAGCCCATAACTATGGAATGGGTAGAGCTACTGCTTCCATATTCACAGGTGTATACCTTGTGACAAGCTTTTTCCATGAGTACCACCAAATTTGAATTGGAGTTTGACCTACCTTTACAACTTTTCAAAAAAGAATAATACACTTTAACCTTAGCCATCACTTTTAAACAGTTGGAGTTAGGATTTTCATCCTTCATATGTGTATTCATTATAACAAGACCTTTCAGCTGGTATAAATATTTTTGACCTATCGATGTTGACCTAGCGTTTGATCCACTGTTTGCTAAATACTTTAACCCTTGTCTTTGTAACAAGACCTTACATTGGGTTCCAACACTTTTGACCTTTTTACCCGACCTTTGGAGTTGAAATACAATTGAAAGAATTCAACCCTCGCCATAAGCTGTCATGTGTACGGAAGCGTCCAAGTTTGACATTTTTTTTTTACAAAATGTAATTGCACCACTTTTCTGAAAAAAATTCCATAATTATGGCATTTTGTATATATATTCTTGTGTCGCCTGTGGAGCAGAGGGGCACTTAGGGATCACTTTATCTGACGTCTGTCTTTCCGTCTAGCTGTCTGACTGTCCGTCTGTCACACCTTGTAACTCAAGAACTGTGAGAGATATGAACTTGATACTGGGGGGTATTTAACACATACATTACTTGGCACTAGAGTATTTGTAAATTGCCATGGATACTGACATTGTGACTTCGGTCATTTTCTATGACATACTTTACTCAGTTAAAAGTGCCAATATATAGCATTAAAAAAACATTTTAGGGGTTATCCTATGCTCTTTAGCATGTACACTGATTGTCAATTTAGTATGAAATATACCTGCGCTACAATTCATGTGACGTTGATCTTTGATCTATTTTAGAGAAGAGTGAGGACTTTTAAATTTTGAGTGGTGGGCTTTTATAATAAACATTTATACAAAAAGATAGGTGAGCTAGCTCCATAGCAATTTAAAATCATGGAAATAAAGCTTCGTAATCAAGTGGTTTATTTTGCTGAATTCTTTAACTTTAAACGAGGCTTGAGTCTGATATTTAGAGTTATTATTATTTGTGTATATTATTATATTATTATAAGTGTATTTTATAGGGTTAATATTATATAAGTGTAGAACTGCATTGTATCACTCGCTTATTGTGTTTTGCCAACAAACTTTGAAAAAAAGAGATTTTAGGAGGTTGGTGGAATTATCCAGAAAGATGGTATAACGTCGGAGGTCCATGGGTCATATGCTCACCTTTGGTGTTTTATGCTCAGTGTGATACATATGTATTTATATAAATTATTATCGAAAAAGTAATTAGCGTCTTGGTTAGTTACTGAGTACGAAGGAGAGTGTTAACATTCTGAAACTTTTATGAAGTTTTTTTTTTCTAATGGAAGCAACCCTAATGACCAAATTACTTCGTTAGTATGTTAATAATTCAACTTTTCGGAATAAAAAATGGATTCAGCAAGAATTTCTCATGGAAGGGGGGGGTTACATAATTGTCCACAACACTACAAGACCTCAACAAAAAACCTACTTTATGGTTGGGTTGTTGGTCAACTTTGGTGGATAAGCTCAATTCTTCCATATTCTCATTCTTCCAATCAACTAATGACAGCCATTCAACACAAACATGCCAAAGTAAGAATTTCTATGTCGCTTACCAATTTACCTTATAAATAATTACAATATTTTAAGATCGGTTTCAACTCTTAGACTTTATATACACAAATGGTTTTGTAACCCTTGAGTGATAATCTATATGCATTTAAAGTTTTGATATGAAAATAAATGTATAATGATTAAAAGACATTCAACATCAAATCTGAATGTCGCTTCATTCATTTAAAAATTTCAATTCATCCGTATTTTTCAAGCGTTTAGAAGAACTTGCATGGAATATTAGAAACGTCTTCTTGTAATATATAGAAAACAAACCACATTTCTCGAAGACATGCATGGATCTTTTTTCATACAGTTCATAGCATATTGCACTTTTACACAAAAATTCCAAATTTTACTTTGGCAATAACTTTTGAACCGTACATACCATGACATTTATACTTCAAATATATAATTTTTATGGCAAGACCTTTCATTCGATACTACCAACCTTGACGTTGAAACCTTGACCTTGGATATTAACGTACGAGCTAATGAACAAAGCTTTAACCTTGCCAATAACTTTTAAACAGTAAGGGTTAGAGCTTTCATACTTCACATATGTAGTCCTTGTAAAAAGACGCTTTATTGGATGTCAGGAGGTTTGACCCTTTGACCTTGGAGCTTGACCTACTTTTAAAAAACAAAACTTGACCATATCTTTAAAAGGGTCAGAGTTAGTGCTTTCATACTTTTTTTTATCCCTGTGACAAGACTTTTCATTTGATATCAGGACTTTTGACTCTTTGACCATGACCTTAGAATTTGACCTACGTTTGAAAAATTTTAAACTAAGCGATAACTTTTGAACGGTTAGGGATATAGCTTATACATGTATACTAAATATATGTATTCTTTGTGGCAAGAGCATTTATAGGATACCAATAACCTTGACCTTTTGACCTTGTCCTAGGATATTTCCAGACTTATGAAAAAACAGTAACATTTGAAATAACTTTTTAAAGGTTAGGGCTAGGACTTGCAAACTTCACTTACGTATTCTTTGTGGCAAGTCCTTTTATTAGACACAAATTACCTTAACCTTTTGACCTTAGAGATTTCTGGACTTATGAAAAATAATGACCTTGGCAATAACTTTTGAAGAGTGAGGGCTAGGGCTTTCATACTTCACATATGTAATTCTTGTGACAAGACCTTTCATTCAGTATCAATAACTCTGACTTTCTGACCTTGATCTTGGAGTTTAACCTACTTTTAAAATCTTTTTAACATTGGCCGTAACTTTTGAATGATTAGTGCTAGGGGGTCCATACTTCACACATGTGTTCTTTGTGGAAAGACCTTTCAATGGATACCAATAACCTTGACTTTCTGACCTTTATCTTGAATATTTCTGTACTTATGAAATGCTGATAGAGCTTTCATGTTTCACAATTGTATTTCCAGTTAGAAGACCCTGATTTGTATACTAATGTATTAAAATTTTCTTTTAAAAAAACTTTAATCTTCACTATGTTGCCATACGGGGGCATCAGTGTGTCACAAACACATCTTGTATAATGTTATTTTAATATTCTTAATAATTATACTGAATTCGAAAAAACTTATCAGGTCTTGATTTTCGGACCTATTTCTGATTTCATTGATCTGTTTTGGGGAATAATTCCAAGTTTTGATTAAACTTTAATCTTCATAGATTCTGTTTCTGATTCTAAGTTTTAAGTTCTGATGTCATTGTGAAATATTACAAAAGTTGCATTATTATCTCCTTATTAAAAATTTATAAAAGAGTGATAAAGAACGTATAAGCACAGATACTTGTTAACAGTCCCCGTCCCCCACCCCAGATATTCAACCCTGGGGCTTGTTGGACATTTTGTTTCACAATTATGCTATATGACTATGAAAAAAATAATAAAAAAACCCAATTATAACCGGTCCACAAAAAATAACTTACTATTCAATATAAGAGATATAATGTATAGTGGGGTATTTTTGTGAGAGCAGATTTTTATGAGGAGTAAGCATCCCTTGTTGATTGGTCACACCCGTTGTCTACTATGCTCTACTATGATCAAGTAAACGGAGGATTCCGTAATCATACTTAGTATAAACACAAAAGTCTAACAGTTGGATAAAAGAAGTAAAGCCAAAAAAAAAAGATAAATTATGTATGAAAGGTGTAAAAACATTATTTGTCTCAACAAATCGTTCATTAAAAGCACAATGACACACAATAACAAGAAGATTTCGTAGCATATAC